CAAAAGTACCCAAAGTTCTCAAATGTTAAGCTTTAACATATGCAGCAGTAAAAGAACTGTGCCTACATAAATTCCTCTTAAATTGGCAGCAGCTTCATTTAAATCGAGTTATATCAATCAACTCTCTACTGGAACGATGACATTAAGGAGTCAGACCAGATTCTGATGTGTGCTACATGATGTTACAGACTGAGGGGTTACCGAGCCCTAGACGGAGGCACAAGAGAAAACATCTGCTGTCTGTTGGCGAATGTGCTACTGTATCCAGCTCTGACAAGTGCATGTGTCACAATGACCCAGATCAGACAAAAAAACATGGTTAGTTTCACAGCATTTGCACATGAAGTGGAGAGGATCAAAAAGAGGACACTGCTCCTTCACCTCCCCGTGTTCGTCTTCCAGAAGCGGAAAGTTGGAGGATCGAATCACGGTGCCTGCAGTCCACATGTTGCAGTGTCCTTGAGCATGACACTGAACTCCAAGTTGCCCTAGAGCAGCGCCCTGCGGGGACAGGGCTGCCATCAGTGTGACATGGCGCTGCCTCGGTTCTGTACAGCAGACAAATTCCTTGTGTGTATAACATACTTGGCCAAATAAAGTGATTATCATTACTCTGTGCAATGGGCGAACTTGGAAGCACAGCAGAGATGCAGAGCAACCCTCCAACAAGAACATGCACTACCTGCAACCTTCTGTGAATTACCCACCTGACAACAAATTAGACCAAGCAGAACCTGAGCGCCAATAGGAGAGCACCCTTTTCACTGCTAAATGAAACAACGGCTTCAACACAAGCTGTGCTGCTCTCCACTGTGTGTGTGAGAGAGGTGGTCTTTGTGCTCAAACACAAACAGGTTGAGCAGATGGTGATCAACCTAAAGCTGCTTAGTATCAGAAGGGTGAGGTAGGACGGCACCGTGCCCAAACATACAGGGCACCTGAACACCCATGGTAAAAACAGGCTGAAATAAAGACAACGAGCAGCGTGCACACGTAGCCCTCTCTAGCACACGCAGACTGAGCAGGAACATTCACCCTCACGTGTCGGGCTGCTTCTGAGTCTACCCGACCACAACACACACACACAAACGCAGTGAGATGGTGAGATCCACATTAACCTACCAAAGCCATGTGATCGTCCATCAGTCACTGATAAACAGCAGGGATGCACTGTTTTTTCCCCATACGAGTACTTGCCAATTCCAAGTACCAGTACAAGTATTTAATATTAGTGTTTCTACTAGAAAAATGACAATTACCATAAAAACACAATGACTTGAGAGCCAGTTATTTACTTGAGATCCTTTTGCAATTAAACTGCTTTGTGTAGCCAACAAGGCGCCGTCACATCCCAATTAAAAGTCATGTGGAACTGACTACTGCACAATCCACAGTGCGGTGCCGTCCTCTTGTACGATGAAGATGTTTACTAAAAAACTGTATCAGACCCGATCCTGGTAGGCAACATGCAGATAGGTATAGCCTCCTGAAAGTAAACTGTCAGCCCACATACTGACTGGAAAGAAATGAAGGTGACAGAAACAAGGCTTTCTTGCAGCTTTTTCTAAAGCCTCTGGACTGTGACAAGCCGAGCTCTATGGGGAAATCTCCAGCTCAAAGATAACGCCAGCCAGCAAACAACGGCTTTGTCTATTTCAGGGAGTCAGGACTTGGAGACAAATGAAAAATCTATCTGAAATTTTACTCAAACTCAAGTGGGAATATGTTACACCTGAAACTTTGTTGGAGCAGGTACACTGGGTCAAAGCACTCTCATTAGTAAAGCAGTCAAGTCCTCCTCTGCTGCGTTATCTCCAGGCCAGTCACTTCACCTCCACCCCCCACCCCCCCCCAGCAGCAGAGGAAATGTCAGGCCTTGCTCGAGGCTGCGCTCTATACGGCGATGAACAAGAAGCCCTGGAGGAGCTGCGACAAACAGAGGACAGGCGGGCGAGATGGGCAAGGATCTGAAAAAACTCCAAGCTCAGAACGATAAAAGCTAGATGAAACCATGAGAAGCAGAAAGGGAGAGGCAGGAACCACTAGGTAGCTAAGTTAGACATACTCCTCCAACACAGACACTAGTGGTTCTGAGGTCCCACCATTTATTCAGTGAGTCAAACAATTTCCAGTGGAGGGTGGAGGGATTCAGTCAGCTGCAGGGCCAGTGCATCCTCACATTTCATTCAAATTCATGGTCTTAAATGTGGGACCACAACCTTAAAGGTCATCTGATGGTGACTGTGCAGCCCTGTGTTGCTCTTCACACAGGTGCAAACAAAAATAATTCAAGCCAGACCTGCTAATGCCAGAGAGCGAGGTGTGGCTGAATAAGACTAACGCCTATGCAAAAAAAAGAAAGACAAACTTGATTAAATTATCAGTATAAATCACTGGATCACCCTTTGGTTTAGTTTATATAGGTCATGTGATTTACCTTAATACTTAATACTTGTCTGGCCCTGGCTTTGTGAGCAGCAGGCGTTTTGTATCTCTGACTGAGGACGCCTTCAAAGGGCTGTGAGAGCTTTAAGACTCGGTTTTAGGGCTCAGGTTAAACGTATCATTTCAGTGAGTGTCCTCATAAAGACAGAAGTACAAGCGTGCGTGTGTGTGTGTGTGTGTGTGTGTGTGTGTGCTCATCTGAAGCAGATGAGAGGCTTAAGATAAAAGGTACAATCTCCTGCACATATCGAGCCTGCGATTCTGCGGAGAGGCAGAGATTAACTTTAGAACTGTGTCAGCAGAGAGGAGCTGAAGGAAGGCAGATGGAGGCAGAGCATGATTTGGGGGGGATCTGCACAGAAGGCTCAAGTGGCGGAACTGGGTGTCTTGGAAGAAATCAACTGTACATGGAGGAGTCATTCTAGCTTTGAATGGTGCTCAGCTGCACACAGCGTCAGCCATTATAGGTCTGAATAGAAGTCAGCTGCACATGAGCTGTTCTGATGAGGCCTGCACTTCAGGCAGCCTCGGTGAAATACCAGGAAGAGGGTGGGAGAGAGGGAACAGGTGGAGGGAAGATGGGAGGAAAGACAGATGGACAGGAAGAGAGAGAAGTGACAGCTGACAGAAGCATGGTGAGTCCCTTTGTCCCAGCTCACCTCCTCTGTCTGGCTTAACAGCAATCTGCTCGATGCAATTCATTTGTTACAGCATGGTTTGAAGTCATTTCTCTTCCTACACATGGATTTATGAGCTGCATGAGATACTTCTTGTCAGTATGTTATAGAGTCAATAAAAAATGTGTTAACTCCATTATATCACGATGTTGACCAC